TATGTGTGCGTGTACTAATGTATTCTCTTGTAGCGTTATGGATTTTGCGAAGTGTCGTTTTAATGAGTGGCTCTACGGTCCTAAGAATCAATGGCCGGAGCCACGAAAGGCAAAGGAAAAGAAGAAAGAAAGGTACGTTCATCCCTATAGTTTGGAACGCCCCTAAAAGGTACGTTCATCGACCTTAGTTGCTCAAGCTCAGTCGCTGTGTAAGGTGGTGGTGGAACATACTGCTACACTTCGTTAATTCTGCCCCATGAATCATAGGGGGTATCATCTGCAGAAAAATCTGTGACTAGTCTACCCTGAGCCTGGATAGCATGCAAAACCTCAGTTGGTACTGGTAATGGCATACCATGAACAGGTACTGGCATGGCATCAACCGTTGTGGACATAACATATCAATCTCCCTGGTCATCATTTGAATCGTCCGAATCACTGCTAACTACATCACCGATCCTGTCCTCCTTCTCCTGCTCCTCCACTTCCAGTTCGAACTCATTCAAATCGAAGTCATTGCTTATACAGCCTACTTAACTTGAATGAAACTGCTCCTGTGTCAACTAACCATCCAAATCTATGTTACCTTGAGTTGCTTCCCTTTCAACCTTCAATTCTTGCTCATTGCCTCCAACACCATCAATGGATGGCCCGTCCAGGACACCCTGCATCCTGTACCCATTCTCCATCACCACCTCAGCTATGGGCACATTGGAACCTTGGAGTACTCTATTGTAGCGGGATCAGTGAGCAGGGTCGCATAAGGGCATTAGGACATAGTGTGCCCTAGTCTTCCCAGTATCAAAGCTCCCCTTCAGTGTGAAATCACCGCCAAACTTTGCATTTAAACGGACACAAAGGTCATTGAAGTTAGGAGGTTCATCAAACCATTCAAATTCTTCTTCCATATCCTCAAACATACCATTTTCTCTCCTAACACTTCCTCCGTAGAAAACTCTAACACAACAATCCATCTACAAAAGCGTTTCAGAAACTTCATCATGTCATCGAAATCATCGTGCGTACTAACTAACTGACTATACCTATACTAACTATACTAACTAATCTAATATTAATACCTATACCAACAATTCTAACTAACTATACTAACTAACTACACTAAACACACTAATGTTAATACCTATACTTACTATACTAAGTAACTTTACTAACTATACATATCTAGCTGACTACAAAACTATACATAACTTATATTTACTAACTTCACTAAATATCTTGCTAACTAATTGTATAAATCTCTATCCAGTCAAACTAAATTTGAATCCTAACCCTAGCAAAAAAATTGATAGAGATGCAGAAGACCATTACCTAGACAAAGATTATGGGTCACCACAATCCACCAATGGAAAGGAGATGGCCGCCGGCGGCAATGGCCGGCCAGCAGCGGCCTACTTCTGGAGGGCGGTGGCAATCCCCCCTTCTGGAGGACGACGATGGGCAGCGCAGCAATGTCCTTCACGGCTCGAGACAGTGTGGAGAGATGGAGGGGCGGCGACGAGGACGGGCGGCGCGCGGCAGTGGAAAGATGGAGGCGCGGCAGCGGCGGTAAGGGAGGCAACGAGACAGGGGGGGATGGAGATGCAATCAGGAGGACTAGCACACGGCGGCGGGCGGGAGCGCAGGGCGTGGCGCATCGGGCGCGGGCGCTCTGGGCAGGGCGTGGCGGCCACGGGCTCGCCGGCTGGGCGCGGCGTGGTGGCGGCGCGGCGGGTGTGGTGGGCGGGCGCGGCGTGGTGGCGCGACGTGGTGTGGTGGCGCGGCGTGGTGTGGCACGGCGTGGCGCGGTGTGGCGGGCAGGTGCGGCGTGGTGGCGCGGCTCCTCTCTAAACGGGCCGAGTGAGACAGAGAGAGAAAGGGAAGCGAGGCCGGGTACAAGGGGCTGCTGCGCCGTGATGCGTGGCGCGGCAGGCCCGCCGCGCCGTGACGGGTGGCGCGTCAGACCTTCCACGTCAGCGGTCGCCGCAGCCGTTGATCGTGAATAAGCCGCGCCGTGCAAACAGACGCGTCCAAAAGTGTTAGTTTTGAAAAAAAAATTAAACAATGTCAATTTTAAAAATAGTTTAAAATGTGTTAAAAAAAAAAAAAAATCTCACCAGTGATGTCTCTGGACAAGACAAGACAAAGGAGAGCACCGCGCAAAGGGGAGGTCACAGACAGCTCACAGGTGCAAGCAATCCAACCAACGAAGCCTGCAACTTTACCCCTAATCTAGCTACCAGTGGGTCTCTATGTGGGCGGGCTGGCTACCAGTGGGTGCGAAGAATTGGTTCTAAGAGGCCTCGTGCTGCGTGAATTTGGTGCAGACAAGAACGCGCGTTACGTGCTAGCAAAAGTAATTCACGTTTAACCAAATTTCTAGTAAAATACTATTCACATTTATCACTCTAAAATAATTTCTTATAAAAGTATATTTCGTAATTAATCTACTAATATTTATTTAATATCATGAATATTGATACTTTTTTATTTATAATTGATCGAATTTATGATACTAAATCATAACACTGTGTTAGAATTGTATTTTTTCTGAACGGATAGAATAAGTTATTAAAAAACATGCTTTTATATCATATCCAATTGGAGTCTTAAATGTTGGTATGGTACTACTTTTTCAGAAAAAAAAAACTTAGTTAAACTTATTTTAAAAGACTTGCTTTGGCATTGCAAGGTCACGTCGCTCGTCGAGCTGACCGGGCCGGGTCGCCGCTGGGTTACTCGCACGCAACGTAGAGCCTTTTAGACAAGGCTCCTAGGCTCCAGCTCCTCCTCAACCACCTCCTATAGTTCCGAGCTATTTTTCTCTCTCTTCGTGAAATAAACTAGGAGCCTAAAGAAGCCACATTTTCTAGCTCATCCGGCTCTGGCTCCTTTGGCACTATAGCATAGAGCCAGAGCCAGAAAGAGCTCTGCTAAAGAGGCACTTAGCCAGCAAGACAAGACTGGCAGCGGATGCACCGTGCAGTCGTCATTGCCGGGCGGAGACAGCGGGCGGGGGCCTAGGCCCCTGTAAACGTGAATTTTCCACTAATTTTTTAAATTTTAAATAAATTTTAAAAATTTAACACAATTGGCCCCCCTAACACTTAAAAAATCAACTTTCTGGCTCCACCACCATGCACTTCGCTCCTGTCGCTGCCACTCTCTAGCCCTATATTATAGAGCTGCTCCTGCAGGCATCGGCTATCGACAGGCCGGCAACCACACACTAGTCGCTCAGCAATGGACCACGTCACCATCTCTGTTCCTCCTCAGTACTACTATTGTCGTCACCTTCTCACCCTCATCTTCCTCTTCCTCCTCACCCACGCTCGCAGCCGCAACAACCAGGCCGGTCGCCTCCCGCCCGACCCGCCGACCCTGATCTTCATCGCCAAGTTCCTGGAGCGGCGGCTCTCCATCTTCTACCAGGCCCCACTGCTCCGCAACCTCCACGAGCAATACGACCCCGTCATATAGCTACGCCTCGCCCACACGCTCCTTGTCTTCATCGCCAACCGTCGCCTCGTGCACCAAATCCTCGTCTAGGACGTACGACGCCACCTTCGCCGACCACACGTCGTCGGTCGACCCAGCGACCAGCCCCTTCACCGCCGGGGGCCGAGCGATCGACACCGCACCCTACGGCGCCTACTGGCGCCTCGTGCGCCGCAACCTCGCCGACTAGGCGCTGCTATCCGCCCGTGTTGTCGCCTTCACACCCACTAGGTAGTGGTCGTGCGACAGCCTCGTGGATAGCCTTTGTCGTCAGAGCGCGGCTGCTGACGGGGACGCCATCACGCTGAGGCCGCTCTTGCGGCGCACCATGTTCCTGTTCGTGGTCTTCATGTGCTTCAGCACGCGGCTCGACAAGGAGGCTCTGGAGGAGATCGAGAGGCTGCTGCACCAGGCGCTCGTGTCGCTCACCACATTCCCCGTGTTCGCCTTCTTCCCCGTGCTTACCAGGCACCTATTCCGCAGCCGGTGGGAGGCGAACGTCGCAGTGCGCCGGAGAGGCCAGAGGAGCTGGGAGGCACATGCCCCCTATTAAAGTACTCAAAAAAAGTCATAAACCTAATGAACAATATAAACACGATACTTACTTGAATCAGAAGTTGATTACCAAAGAAATCTTAGAAGCAAGCTCAAGTAAAACTTGATTCCGCTAGGGTACAAGCCGTAGAGAGAGCACCGACAGGCCGACACTTCCTCAAACTCTTCCCTCACTCTCTATTTCACTATTTCTATTTACAAAGGCTAGATCCTAACTTGGAAGACTAATCTTCTCTTTGTTGCTGGCTCTGATCTGATGATGAGGATGTGAATTAGGGTTTTAGGATGCTCTGTTGGAGGAGGTATAGGGGGGTATTTATAGGGGAACCAGGGGTCCTATGGGCCCATGAATCCATAGCAACGTCAAATCTGGACCCTCGAATTGAACCGACCTTGAACAACGGTGTAGATTTGATCTTTAAGACGGTGGAGAACAGACATAGTGAGGAGGGGCTGCCAGGTGGGGCCCACTAGTCGGCCAGCCCCACACGCTGACAAGATGGCGTGGGTCTTGGTGAGTTGTCTTCTGGATGGTTCTAGAGTCTTCCCAAGTCGGTTCGTCATGGAATAACGTAATTTGCTCTAACAATTAGGTCCACTTTGACGGTTTTCTGATTAAATCCTCCTGCAGTCATGAAATCACCAAAACTCATGGAACTCATTAGCTTTAAACACTACACCTATGTTGGTGATCCATTTCAATCAATTATGTAAGGTATATTGACGGTTTACGATTGATATTAACTACCGTCAACATCCACTAAATTTTTTAAAATTCAAATAAATTTTAAAAATTCAACATTGTTGGCCCCTTAACATTAAAAAAATCAACTTTCTGGCTCCGCCGTCATGCACTTCGCTCCTTTCGCTGCTCCTCTCTAGTCCTATATTATACAGCGGCTCTGGAGGCATCGGCCATCGGCAGGCAACCACACACTAGTCGCTCAGCAATGGAGACCGAAGCCTTCATGCCGTCATCTCTGTTCCTCCTCGGTACTACTATCGTCGTCACCCTCATCTTCCTCTTCCTCCTCGCCCGCGCCCACAGCCACAACAACCAGGCTGGTCGCCTCCCACTCGGCCCACCGGCCCTGATCTTCATCGCCAAGTTCCTAGCACGGCGGCGCTCCATCTTCTACCTGGTCTCATTGCTCCGCGACCTCCACGAGTGCTACGGCCCCGTCAAATCGCTACACCTCACCCGCACGCTCCTCATCTTCGTCGCCGACCGCTGCCTCGCGCACTGAATCTTCATCCAGGACGACGCCACCTTCGCCGACCACACTCCACCGGTCGACCCCGTGACTAGCCTCTTGACCGTTGGGGGCCGAGAGGTCGGCACCGCACCCTACGACGCCTTGTGCGCCAGGTACAGTGGTCGGTACCGTCATGGGGCTTGGCCTACCATGAATGGCAGTGTTCTCCATGATCAAATTGATAATACGTGTTCTGCATTAATAGACTGAAATGTTTTTCTAAACTTTTTCTAGATTATCATCTAGGTCTATTACATTAATTCTTAATTCAACTTTTAAAGTAGTTGACTTAAAGTGTGAATTTAGGTCCATATATAGGTGGACCTAAAGTGAACTTAGAATGAACCACTTTATTTAAAAGTAAGTATATCAGTTGAAGATCAGATGATAACACTACAGGATTATTCAGTTCAGTCTGTACTTAGTAGTCAGTAAAAGTGGCGGCGGCCCTTGGTAGGAGGCGAAACGGTAGTGGAAATGCTTGCATGCGAGAAGCTTAGGTGGAACGCCACAATACCCATATGGGGGCCAAGGCTGCACCATTTGAGCGAGTGACTGGCTGGCACTACGTAAAAAAGCAACATATCCACCACCTCACCATAGAGGCGACCAGTAAAGCGCGTCTATTACGTGTCTTCCTGACGCGCGTCTGTAGTAAGTCGTAGGCAGGGGTCACCAGTCCGGTGAGGTCAACATGCGTCTGTCATAAGCGCTTACTGCAGCACACATCTGTAATAAGCGCTTACTACAGACACGTGTTGGTAAAATGCGTCTGAGCTAAATCTACAGACGAGTGTATATAAAACGCGTCTGTATCTGTAGCAGTTATTACTAACGCGTGTTGTGATTTCTGAGTCTCGGATAACAGGATCAAACTCTATGGACGCACGTACGTGACACGCGTCTATAGTAAGATCTCTTATTGCAGACACGTATGTTGTTGCAGACGCGTGTTTCCAACACGCGTCTTGAGTAATCCTACTTGTAGCAGACGCGTCCTGCTCTATACGCGTCTGTACTTTGTGGTAGACGTGTGTTCCATACGCACGTCTGTAGTATTTCGCCTACGTACTTAGTCGTTGGCACGTGCTAACGGACAGAGGGAGGTACTTGGCGCGCACGGAACATAGCGGGTAGTGGCTCTCGGGCGGCTTTGAGGAGTGCGGGCGGAGTTGGCGGGTGGTGAGCGGCGGGCAAACTTGCGCAGCGCTACCATAGGCGGGCGACGAGTAGACTTGCTCTCCGCGCACGCAGGCGGGTGGTGGGCGAATGCTCGGCGTGCAGGCAGGCGGCGGAAGGAGGGGCGCGCGGCAGTTAGCGGGGCACATTGCTGTGGCGAGTGGTAGGTCAGAGGGGCTCGCTGCTGCTACGGACGGTGGTGGGTGGCCTTAGGACCTCGCCACGTAGGCGGTCAGACGTAGCTAAGAAAGTATTAAGCTCAAGCCACAGGCGCTCCTCTCATTCCCTCTCCTCTGCGGGAGCACCGCCGCGCCGCTCGACATTGAAATTTGTCGCCATTGTTCCATCTTCCCCCAATTTCCCATGCTCCTAGCTCCGCCTAGTTCCTACGGTCCTCATCGAACCACTGTAGCCACCTCTCGCCACTGCAATCGCCTTCGGTGTTGGTTGCTACCGTGGCCATGCCACCATGGCTACCATGGGTAGCTCGTCGTGGCCAGCTTGTTCCGGCGCTCCTCTGGTGATCCCGTTTATTGGTTTAGCTCTCCTGCAACTCCGTGATGCTCATCAGCTCCATTCTTTTACCTCTACCACATGGGTCATGGTGGAATAGAGACCTCACCACCAGTTCGCGCCGCCACACGCGCCATCATCGCCAGCCATCTAGCTCCACCTCGTCCCCGGTTCAACCGAGCAGCGCAACGATATCATGGTGAGCTGCTGATGCTGCCTGAGCCCTTAGACTAACCTATACCATGTTGTATCTGCTGGAGCACCACCGCGCCGTAGTTCTTTGTCTGCCGCACTGCCATGGTTGTGGTCAAGCTCGAGTCTAACTCTAACTCATTCCTCTCTGTAGTGTACTCGATCAGGCGAGCTCCAACTGTGCTTTGCCATCTCAAGCTGCAGGGGGTCTCCAGCGTGCTCAGCTCTCCTCCCTGGTCCTCCCTGCTCTCGTCTTCGGCCTCCTATTCTCTGTCGTGTGCTTCTCTATGAACAGTGTGAGCTCGTGTGAAACTGTGATGAAGTTGCTTGTGTGAAACTTGCAATATGAACTAAGTCTACTAAAAAATATGATTTTTATTACTAAAGTATTGATGAATTTGCTTATATTCTTTCATTTTCACTCTAGCCATTGACAAACCAGCAATAATATATATGTAATAATATATAGATAGATGCATTTACAGCCAAAGTATGGGACTGAGTTTGCATCATAGAGTTTTACTACTTCATCATAGTAATTACATCATCATCAAAAGTACGTCATCACAGAGTTTACATTCACATAGTTTCATCAGCAAAAGTTAACACATCATCACATCATCATTAGGTGTTCGACAGCGGCGGAGGCATGGCACCCTACAACTTGCTCTGGAGGTCATGCACATTCTGAACCATGGACGCCAGTTGGTCACCAAGGTCGTCTAGGTTCTTCTCGAGACGCTTCTCCTTCTCTTCGTTCTCAGCTTTCTCTTTCTTGAGTTCGTCAACACTCCGCTGAAGAGCACCTATGCTCTTCATGATGGGTTTTAGAACCACTGCATGTAGGGTCTCATGCATGGTACTTATAGGAAGCTGATAAGATCGAACCTATATGCACAGAAACAGTTATAGGAACATATATGAAAATCCAGGATAAATCTAGATACTATGACAAAAAACTACATATAAGTTTCATTTACATTCATATAAGTCTCATTATCCAACATACATATCAGAATTATATAAGTTTCATATAATCAATTATTGGCTACAAAATCCATGACCTTGTGAACACCAAAATCATAACAAATTAAAAAAATAAAACATCTAGTTGCTACTAACAATGCACATAAAGACTTAGAGCTGCCCCAAAGAGATGAAACCTAATCTACTCAAATCACAATGCTGAAATATTGAACTGACACCATCAAAATTATTCACAAGATTACAATCATTGATCTATGATAAACATCTAGATAAAGAAATCTACTCAAATCACAATGCTGCTGCAAAATACAATATATGACAGTTTACATCGCTTGTATAAAAACTTAAGTTGCATCTGCATTTATTGTACACTAAGTTGTTTTCTCTACTCCATCTAGGTCCGGGATGAGAATGGCATGAGCCAAATTATTTTAGCAACAAACTCATCCAATTCAGAGGCTACCAACAAAACTGTCATGAAATTAAGAAAGAAAACTTACATATAAGCAGTTATAATCTAAAGAGTGTGCATTACCTAGTCATGGGTGGAGCTCGAACCGCTGACTTCGCCGCAGTTGACGCCGCCGCGGAGCCATAAACGGCACGTACTGGCTCCTCCCTCAAAGCAGTGGTCACACATCTTGGTGCCCGCTGTCCTCAGCGCCGCGGCCAAGGAAGAAGGCATCGCCGCCGGTGCTTGCGTGGCCTTTCTCCTTCCTCCTTGCCTCCATGGGTTCTCCTTCCTCCTCGCTATCCGAGTCAATCGCAAGCACCACCACCGGCTTCTTGACCACTGCCCTCAACACTATCGCCGAGGACATGGGCGTCGCCATCGAGGAAGAGGGCATGTATTACCTGGCCTTCTTCTTCACCGCCGCCAGGTGCTTCTCCTTCCTAGTGATGACAGCGGCCTTTTTCATCAACCTCGGTGGGGCGGCCGGGACAGCCTTCGTATTGAAGGCCGGCGTCTTCTTGAACCCCGGCGTGGGGTTCACCTCCTCCTTCACCGCTGCCGAGGATGAGGAACGGCAGGTGAACCTCCCTGTGTTCTCATCCCTCAGGTTGTGCCGCGTCTCTGGCATCATCATCTTCAACGGCGGTGGCTGCGGATATGGCTACGGCGGTGGGCCGGGGAGGCGAGAGGAGTGGAGGCGGCTACGCGCGCGGCGGGGAAGGCGAGAGATGAGTGGAGAGATGAGAGGCCGGAGTGAATGTGAGTGAAGGAGCGGCAGTTCCAATGCTTTGAACTACCACTCCTCTCTTTGTTGGCCCTTCGAATGCGGATGGCTGCGGCCGATTCCTCAATTGGCTTACTACAGACAATTGTTAATAATACGGGTCTAAAGTAGGACCCTGACAGGACGGTCCCACTGCCACCATGTTTTAATGTATTGGAAATCTTTTAAAAAATAAACACCGCTCCTCGTTTGAACTTACGAACGTAGCCCAATGGTTAACTCATGGGGTTGTGGGCCTGAAGGTCTCGGGATCGATCCCCGTAGGGGTAAAATTTTTTGTCTTTTATTTTACTACTATAGACGCATTTTTACAACAGTGTCTGTAATAGGAAATCTTTTGTGGATGAATGTTTAGTTTGGTTTAAAAGATGATTTCAAATTAAAAAGTTGTCAACTATAAAATTTCATAACTTTTCGAGATCTACAACTTTTATTTTGGTAGTTTCTCCATTCGAGGTCATTTAAAAAACTCAAATTTCAAATTTTAAAATTTTGGAAATTTAAACTTAGTTTTCCATGATAAGATGATATAAATAAAAAAGTTGTCAACTACAAAGTTTCGTGGCTTTTCGAGATCTACAACTTTTATTTCGGTTCTTTCTCCATCTTAGGTCATTTGAAAAATTCAAATTTAGTAGTTAATTTTGAAAATTCGGCGTCTATTTGTAGAGGCGGCTCAATAGAGTAGTGTGGAATATCACAAACACCATCACAAACAACAATATAACATGAATTACAACAAAAACATCTCAGTTTTCATCACTGCTACTTAGGATCGAACATCAACCATCACCAAAAGCAAAAGTTTTGATCATGTCATCGAGATATATATACATATCAACACTCATACCCACTAACAATCAAGGAAGAACCTATGACACT